TCAAAATAGAAAATAATACCGACATCAAGAGGTCGGTTTTTATTGTAATTCATTAAAAATTCCGACCTCCTAAGCGACATCCGGAGGTCGGTTTGTTTAAATGTTCCTACTAAATTTTCATTTTACACCTATAATTAATTGTTTACAATTTTGTATACTTTTATAAATAAAAATTTTGAAATTACGTTGATATGAAATTTTTATGCAAAATAAAGCGGAAAAACCAAATTTCGACCTCAGGAGATCGGAATTTTTCCTAGAAAATGAATTACAATAAAAATCGATCTCTTGATGTCGGTATTATTTTCTATTTTGATTTAATTTTATTTAAATTGTCTTTCGGAGGACGATTTTGTGTAAAATGAAAAACAAAGAAATTATAATATCGACTTTCGGAATTCGATAAAACTAAATAGTATGTAATAAATTAATATTTTCAATTAACTTTAAATAAATCGTCCTCCGAATGACGGTTTTATACAAGTTAAAAAAATAATTTAATATAAAATACCAACCTCCCGATGACAATATTATTTAATTAACATGATTACTTTTATTTATCTTAAAATTTAATGTGATACCGACCTCATGAAGCCGGTATTTTTATTAAATCTAATTACTTTTAATAAAAGCGACATCCGGAGGTCTATTTGTTTAATATATTCCTATTAATAATCATAATTTTGCTATTGTGCATAATACTAAAAATTTCATTTTACACCTACAATTAATTGTTCAAAAAGTGTAACAATTTTGTATAATTTTATAAATAAAAAGTTAGAATTCGTGGAATAAATAAAAAAATATCTATAATCCATTATTTAGAGTATGAAACTACGTTGATATGAATTAGGAGATAATTATACTTATATTTCTAGAGTAATGTACAAATTCTATCTGTCCGTTGTCTAATCATGAACTTAATTTCTCATGTCATGATGTAGAGGTGAAGAGCTAACATATAATCCATTCGAGTATGAAATGCGAGATAGTATTATTATATACGTTCGATCTAATTGAATGGATGTTAAGTGTAGTGATCACCTCCTAATTATGATGACATGTAAACGATACTTTATCGGAGTATGAAATACGTTGATTAATGATATACTCCTGGAGTAGTTTAACAAATCAAGTCTTATATACTAGTGGTTTAGATATGAAATACATTATCAATTAAAGAAATACCGAGGATCAATTCAAGGAGATTTATATATTAAATTTGATATTGATAAACTTTTGTTGATCAATAAAATTAAATTTATATAATTAGAAGGTATAAAATTAACTTGATCGATATATATATATAATTTAACTACACATCAACAGAAGTTTAATTTAATAAAATTAATTTATCGATCAAGTTAATTTTATAAATTTAAATTATATAAATTTAATTTTATTGATCAACAAAAGTTTATCAATATCAAATTTAATATATAAATCTCCTTGAATTGATCATCGGTATTTCTTTAATTGATAATGTATTTCATATCTGAACCACTAGTATATAAGACTTGATTTGTTAAAATACTCGAGGAGTATATATATATATATATATATTAAATTAAACTTATGTTGATGTGTA